GGGGGGGTAACTGTATATAGGAATAAACACAGTGCTACTGGACAGGGACCCTTAAAGGGAGGTTACTGTATATAGGAATAAACACAGTGCAGTTGGACAGTGATCCTTAAGGGGAGGTAACTGTATATAGGAATAAACACAGTGCAGTGGGACAGGAATCCTTAAGGGGAGGTAACTGTATATAGAAATAAACACAGTGCAGTGGGACAGGGACCCTTAAGGGGAGGTAACTGTATATAGAAATAAACACAGTGTAGTGGGACAGGGACCCTTAAGGGGAGGTAACTGTATATAGGGATAAACACAGTGCAGTGGGACAGGAATCCTTAAGGGGAGGTAACTGTATATAGAAATAAACACAGTGCAGTGGGACAGGGACCCTTAAGGGGAGGTACCTGTATATAGGAATAAACACAGTGCAGTGGGACAGGGATCCTTAAGGGGAGGTAACTGTATATAGGAATAAACACAGTGTGGTGGGACAGGGACCCTTAAGGGGAGGTAACTGTATATAGGAATAAACAGTGTAGTGTGACAGGGACCCTTAAGGGGAGGTAACTGTATATAGGAATAAACACAGTGCAGTGGGACAGGGACCCTTAAGGGGAGGTAACTGTATGTAGGAATAAACATGGTGCAGTGGGACAGTGACCCTTAAGGGGAGGTTACTGTATATAGGGATAAACACAGTGCAGTGGGACAGGGATCCTTAATGGGAGGTAACTGTATATAGGAATAAACACTGTGTAGTGGGACAGGGACCATTAAGGGGAGGTTACTGTACATAGGGATAAACACAGAGCAGTGGGACAAGGGCCCTTAAGGGGAGGTTACTGTATTTAAGAATAAACACGGTGTAGTGGGACAGGGATTCTTAAAACACTTATCATGCGGATGATAATAATTAAACTGCTTCCCACAAAACATGCAAATTTTACTGAGAAGCTTGCGTCCTTGAGAACTTATAAACATGTGTCATCAATCACATTTTGCATGGAACTAAGTGTAATTTTTGCAGACAAATTTCAATGACTATGACCATTCAGATACACTTGGATAACGGGTAAATATGAACCTCGGTTGTATCCAGTGATGCATTACACAAGGTTTAATATTGACATTCATTAGTTTGAACGTCCTCGTGTCATTTTGTAGTCGATATATGTGACCATTCCTGGACACCTAAAACGGGATGAACTATAAAACTGTGCTAAATAAGAAAATAATAGTGTTATTGTTTTATAATTATCATTAATTATTAGTTACATGAGCTCCTGTATATAAACCTGTTGATGTGTGTTATTTAGGTGTCAGTTACTATAGTAGCTCTATTTTCTCGATCTATTTATATATACATTCCTTGTTATTTCATCGTGTAATCACATTTTACTATGATATACTGTGGTAGTTTATGTGATTCTCTCTGATAACTACTCCAGCAATGTTTGAGGTTTATCATGGCAAGATAATTGGACATAAATATGAAATATGAACATTTTCTTTTATAACAAATATGCAACAATTTATTTCAACTTATACTTATCGTTCTTATTGGCCCGGATGCTAGCGCGCGGGGGTTCTTCATGTGGGAGAAAACCGGAGTACCCGTAGAAAACCCACGTGATTCACGATATCTTGACAAGCGTCGCAGTCGGTAATCATATCCGATAGAAATAGCCGACCATCAGACAATAATGTTATCTGGTTACGTGCATGTCTTGTGTTTCTTGTGTAATTAAGGTTTTTTTATGAGATGCCACTAGTTTCCTGATAATAATTATATTTTTTGCAATAGACAATATTGTTCATGTGCGACATGCGTTCACAATATTTGTAATATGGTAGTGGTACAAAACAAAATAAGTTCTAACAAGTTACAACAGACAGCCTTAATACAATCTGTACATAGTTAATAAAATCTGTATATGGTAAATACAATCTGTACATGGTAAATACAATCTGTACATAGTAAATAAAATCTGTACATGGTAAATACAATCTGTACATATTATTTTCACATGGTAACAACAGCATTTAAAGAAGTGTTACATCATCGTGAGCGAAGGATACACTGACATATTTCATTATTAATTTAATTTAGTAATACTCCATTTCTAATTCCATTTGCTTCATGTAGTTAACACTTTTTTTAAAATTTGTATGTGTGTAG